GCTAGTTTTCATCACGTTCATATGATTCGCGTTCGGTACTTTAATAATTTGGTATGTGGGTGGACCGGTGCTTGGGTACTGTCCTTACTTGGACAAGCATCCCACTTATGACTAACCTCTATTGCAAGCATCTGCAACTACAACAAAAGTATTAAGGTAAACCTAACCATAGCATGAAACATATGGATCCAAATCAGCCCCTTACGAAGCAACGCATAAACTAGGGTTTAAGTTTCTATCACTCTAGCAACCCATCATCTACTTATTACTTTCCAATGCCTTCCTCTAGGCCCAAATAATGGTGAAGTGTCATGTAGTTGACGTTCAAATAACACCACTAGAGGAGAGACAACATACATCTTATCAAAATATCGAACGAATACCAAATTCACATGACTACTAATAGCAAGACTTCTCTCATGTCCTCAGGAACAAACGTAACTACTCACAAAGCATATTCATGTTCATAATCAGAGGGGTATTAATGTGCATATAGGATCTGAAATATGATCTTCCACCAAATAAACCAACTAGCATCAACTACAAGGAGTAATTAACACTACTAGAAACCCACAGGTACCAATCCCGGACTTGGAGACAAGAATTGGATACAAGAGATGAACTAGGGTTTTGAGAGTTGATGGAGATTGCCCTCTCCCGATGAGAGGAGCGTTGGTGATGACGATGGCGATGATTTCCCCCTCCCGGAGGGAAGTTTCCCCGGCAGAACAGCTCTGCCAGAGCCCTAGATTGGTTCCGCCAAGGTTCCGCCTCGTGGCGGCGAAGTCTCGTCCGGAAAGATGGCTTATGATTTTTTCCTCATCGAAAGACTCCATATAGCAGAAGATGGCCATCGGAGGGCCACCAGGGGGCCCACGAGGTAGGGGGCACACCCAGGGGGTAGAGCGCGCCCCCACCCTCGTGGGCAAGGTGTGGCCCCCCAGGTGAACTTCTTGCGCTCAGTATTTTTTTATATATTCTCAAAACGTCTTCCGTGTAGTTTCAGGACTTTTGGAGCTGTGCAGAATAGGTCTCTAATATTTGCTCCTTTTCCAGCCCAGAATCCCAGCTGCCGGCATTCTCCCTCTTTATGTAAACCTTGTAAAATAAGAGAGAATAGGCATAAGTATTGTGACATAATGTGTAATAACAACCCATAATGCAATAAATATCAATATAAAAGCATGATGCAAAATGGACGTATCAGCATTGTCTAGAGTTTTACTAGCATATTGAATAACATTTAATTTTTTATCAACTCTTTGCCCTAGGACAACACCTAGAGCATAATCACTAGCATCACACATAATTTCAAAAGTTAAATTCCAATCAGGTGGCTGAAAAATCGGTGCAGAGATCAATGCTTTCTTAAATATTTCAGATGCTTCTACACAATCATCATCAAAGACGAATAGTATATCTTTTTGTAATAAATTAGTCAGAGGCCGAGAAATTTTTGAGAAGTCCTTAATGAACCTCCTATAAAAGTCGGCATGACCAAGGAGACCGAGCATAAATTTTTTGAATAATCATTCTCTTGAGAGCTCATGATTGGGGCATGAATATAACATTGATTTAAGCCTCCCCAAGCTTGAGCAATGCTTTCTCCTTCACGAGGCCAAAAATTATATATATAATTGCGATCATGATGAACAAGATGCATAGGATAAAACTTTTGATGAAATTCCAATTTCAATCGTTTGTAGTTCCATGGTCCCATATCATCACATAGCCTATACCATGTCAATGCATCTCCCTTCAAAGATAAAGGGAAGACCTTCTTCTTGATAACATCATCGGACATACCTGCAAGCTTAAATAATCCACAAACTTTATCCACATATATTAGGTGCTCATCAGGATGTAATGTTCCATCTCCTGTAAAAGAATTAGCTAGCAGTTTTTCTATCATACCCGAAGGAATTTCAAAGTAGACATTTTCATTTTCAGTAGGTTCAGTAGATTGAGGAGCAACTCTTTGCTCTACTTGTCGGGGTGAAGATACCCCGAACAAGCCCATCAAAGGATTACTTTTCATAGTAACAAGTGACAGTAAATTTCAGCACACTATATAAATTTTTTCCTTACCAAATTCCACCTACCAAAGGCGCTTCACTCCCCGGCATTGGCACCAGAAAAGAGTCTTGATGACCCACAAGTATAGGGGATCTATCGTAGTCTTTTAGATAAGTAAGAGTGTCGAACCCAACGAGGAGCAGAAGGAAATGATAAGCGGTATTCAGTAAGGTATTCTCTGCAAGCACTGAAATTATAGATAACAGATAGTTTTGTGATAAGATAATTTGTAACGAGCAACAAATAACAGAAGTAAATAAAGTGCAGCAAGGTGGCCCAATCTTTTTTGTAGCAAAGGACAAGCCTGGACAAACTCTTATATGAAGTAAAGCGCTCCCGAGGACACATGAGAATTATCGTTAAGCTAGTTTTCATCACGTTCATATGATTCGCGTTTGGTACTTTGATAATCTGATATGTGGGTGGACCGGTGCTTGGGTGTTGTCCTTACTTGGACAAGCATCCCACTTATGATTAACCCCCATTGCAAGCATCCACAACTACAACAAAAGTATTAAGGTAAACCTAACCATAGCATGAAACATATGGATCCAAATCAGCCCCTTACGAAGCAACGCATAAACTAGGGTTTAAGTTTTTGTCACTCTAGCAACCCATCATCTACTTATTACTTACCAATGCCTTCCTCTAGGCCCAAATAATGGTGAAGTGTCATGTAGTCGACGTTCACATAACACCACTAGAGGAGAGACAACATACATCTCATCAAAATATCGAACGAATACCAAATTCACATGACTACTAATAGCAAGACTTCTCTCATGTCCTCAGGAACAAACATAACTACTCACAAAGCATATTCATGTTCATAATCAGATGGGTATTAATATGCATATAGGATCTGAACATATGATCTTCCACCAAATAAACCGGCAAGCATCAACTACAAGGAGTAATCAACACTACTAGCAACCTATAGGTATCAATCCCAGACTTAGAGACAAGAATCGGATATAAGAGATGAACTAGGGTTTGAGAGGAGATGGTGCTAGTGAAGATGTTGATGGAGATTGACCCCCTCCCGATGAGAGGAGCGTTGGTGATGATGATGGTGATGATTTCCCCCTCCTAGAGGGAAGTTTCCCTGGCAGAACAGCTCCGCCGGAGCCCTAGATTGGTTCCGCCAAGTGGCGGCGGAGACTCGTCCCGAAAGCTTGCTTATGATTTTTTCCTCAACGAAAGATCCCATATAGCAGAAGATGGGCATCGGAGGGCGACCAGAGGGCCCACGAGGCAGGGGCGCGCCCAGGGGGTAGGGCGCGCCCCCCACCCTCGTGGCTGGTGAGTGGCCCCCCTCTGGTACTTCTTGCACTCAGTATTTTTTATATATTCTGAAAATAACTTTTATGAAGTTTCAGGACTTTTGGAGCTATGCAGAATAGGTCTCTAATATTTGCTCCTTTTCCAGCCCAAAATCCCAACTGCCGGCATTCTCTCTCTTTATGTAAACCTTGTAAAATAAAAGAAATAAGCATATGCATTGTGACATAATGTGTAATAACAGCTCATAATGCAATAAATATCAATATAAAAGCATGATGCAAAATGGACGTATCATGGTGCGGTAGCGTAGGCCGTGTCTAGCATCTCTGACCTTTAATATGTATGTGGAGTGTACGAACTTATTATGCGAAGAAGAACCATCTATGCGAGCGAGATCCGGCGAGCTGCTGCTTAAATTTCTCGCGCGAAACAACTTTTTTAAAATATTAGGGGTCTGTTTGCGGTTTCTGTTTTGCCGCCGCATTTTTCAGCCTGCATAAGCGCCCCCATGCGACCTGCAAACACAGTTTACGGATCGGCAAAATGCGAGGTCTGCTAGAGTTGCTCTAACAGGGATATAATGTGATAGCTTATAATCCGAACTAAAAATTCTTTGCTGCCACCTAACTGTAAGCATGAGCATCCTAACAAAATAAGAAAAAATGTCCAACAACAATAACTGAATTTGGGATGTCATTAATTGGATGTAGATTTACTGTGCTGCCAACAATAACTTTGTCGAAAAGTACAATCATTTGTTGATAACCTTGTCATTAATCGGCAAAAATTGTTCTTTGCTGGTGTTTTTGTGTGTGTGTGCGTTAGTGTTGGTTGTGTTCATTCTAACTATGTAGAAGCTTGTGTGTGCTTACTGTGCTTGTATGCACTTGATGTTTCATTTTGAGTAAATAAAATCCACCCTTTGTCGAAAAGTACAATCATTTGTTGATCACGCCTGCACTAACTCGATCCTCGGGGAAATTTCCCAGCACACGGTGATGGCCAGCTTCATTTCGATCACGTGTGATCTTTGCTGCAAAGATGTCCTTGCAGATGACATCAAACGATAGAATTTCATCCACCTGAAGTGCATACTTCTATCTGTTGCCTGCAGTGCGCCCCCCTCGTGGTATACAGACTAATTCTCTATCTGGAAAATTCACTCCCTGCATGCATAGACTAATTCAGGAGCTAAGGAGTATCACCAACAATGAGCGTGTCAAAGAAAAGCACCGCCCAACCGCATCATCAACACACAAACGTACTCCCACACGCCTTCTGAGTATACGCTTTTTGGAATAAATAAATTATTATAGGGTTATTAGTTGAGTGTGGACCCAGTGCTAAACCGTATCAGCACATAGTTTATGGTTTTACGGACCCTTTCAACCACAGTGCCAAAACTACCAGATCAACCTCCGCGTTGCGTCCCAAGAGCGAGTCCACTCATATTCTAGGAAGCCTCGCGCTAGCTTTGCTATAAGTACCGCCGTATCGGCATTGCCCGCTCCAAGAATCACAAGCGCAAGCAGAGCAGATCAGCACACCAACAAGCTAGCTAGCGCGACCGAGCAAGCGAAAGAGAGATCGAGATCGAATTGATTGATCTTGTTGGTTCTACTTCTCGGTAGCAAATCAAGATGGCGCCTCCTTCTCCCTTGCCAGCGGCGCTGCTGGCCGTGTGCGCCCTGCTCGCCGCCATGGCGCTCCTCCAGGGCGCGCGGGCGCAGCAGCTGAGCCCGGCCTACTACGACGTGTCGTGCCCGCACGTCTACGACACGGTGCGCCGCGTCATCCAGGCGGCGCGCACCGCCGACCCGCGCATCCTCGCCAGCCTCGTCCGCCTCCAGTTCCACGACTGCTTCGTCAACGTAAGCACCGTCTACCTCCACCGTGCGTGCATGCGCCGCCGCTGCTAGTAGTATATGATTTGAGCTGAAGCTAACGTGCGTGTTCGCGTGCAGGGCTGCGACGGGTCGCTGCTGCTGGACGACGGCCCGGCGATAAACAGCGAGAAGAACGCCGCCCCGAACAACAACTCGGCGCGCGGGTTCCCGGTGGTGGACGACATCAAGGCCGCCCTGGAGAGCGCGTGCCCCGGCGTCGTCTCCTGCGCCGACATCGTCGCACTCGCCGCCGAGGTCTCCGTCGAGCTGGCAGGAGGGCCCTACTGGAGGGTGCTGCTGGGCCGGAGGGACGGCACGACGGCCAACTTCGACGCCGCCGACAACCTCCCCGCCCCCACGGACACCCTCAACGTCCTTCGGCAGAAGTTCGCCGACGTCGGCCTCGACGACACCGATTTCGTCGCCCTCCAAGGTACCACGACGCACTCCATTGCTGATCCACCATCAGCTCCTCGGATCAAACCTCGGTCTCTATATGTTATGACACGACTGGAGCGGTTCAAATGACACGTACGTCTCGCTTCATCTTCCAGGAGCGCACACGATCGGCCGGGCGCAGTGCAGGTTCTTCCAGGAGAGGCTCGACAACTTCGCCGGCACCGGGCAGCCGGACCCGACGCTGGACGGGGCGTACCTGTCCGCCCTGCGACAGAGCTGCCCGGCGGCCGGCGCCGCCGACGCGCGCCTCAACAACCTCGACCCGGCCACGCCGGACGCGTTCGACAACAGCTACTACCACAACCTGCTGCGCAACCGCGGCCTGCTCCGGTCCGACCAGGTGATGCTCTCCGCGCCGGACGGCGCCGCGGCCTCCACGGCGCCCATCGTCGAGCGGTTCGCCGCCAGCCAGGCCGACTTCTTCCGGAGCTTCGCCACGGCGATGATCAAGATGGGCAACATCGCCCCGCTGACCGGAAGCATGGGGGAGGTCAGGAGGAACTGCAGGGTGGTGAACAGAAGCTGATCGCGCCGGTGCTGTTTGTTGTTCAAAGGAGTCATTCATTTGATTTATTGATTTTCTTTTGAAGGAATTCATTTTTTCACGAATGGTCATTGAAGAGTTTATGTAAAAAAAAATTCGAAATGTTCTGAATAAATGTCCCAACTCTGGGAGAAATAACTTGCACAAAGACAATAACTGTCTCAAAATTTTCTTACGTGTAGTCAGTGAAACCCGCTCAAAGACAATAACTAGTCACCTAGGACGTGCATACGAACTACCTGCCAGCAATATGTTATTTATCCTAGCTAAGCAAGAGAAACTCAAGCATGCTTCGAGTCTAAATCTTCACGTTATTTACGTTGAGCCCATACCCTAGCTAGGCATGCTTCGAGTCTAAATCTTCATGTTTCTGATGGCTGATAACATCTCAATCGTCACATAAAAACAGGTTAATTAGCTGACAGATGACAACTGTAATAACTACTCCCTCCGTAAAGAAATATAAAGGCATTTAGTTTAGATCACTACGCTCTTATATTAGTTTACAGAGGGAGTACATAAAGAGCAGAAATTATACCATGCTAGAGAAATAGTTCAATTGTTGGTGTAGAAAGATTCTCGACACACATTTACATGGAGCAAATGTTCCAAAAAGAAAATGCTAAATTCTCCGGAAGAAAAACATTCCAAGCAAAGATGCAAAGTTTAATGTTGATTATTTGGCGGCTGGAATGAATTCTAAAACAGAGTAACAGTACAACATCTGGAATTGTCTCCGGTTCTACAGATTCTGTAACTTAACATGACAACACAAAGGCAACATGGAAGCCATGGCACTTCCAATCTCATCAGTTGGTTTGTATATAAGTCCATCATGGCTCGCTAGGTGGGGGTGGTGGTGGAGGTAAAAGAAGTGCAAGGCGCTGCTTGTATCTCTCAATCCGGACTTGCCGCTCCTTGCGCAATCTGCCAAACAAAATTACGTTAAAATGAAAGACTAACTCAAAATCCAGCCAAGATCATATTGGCATGCTCACATTTTTGCATGCTTGAGAGCTTGCCAATACAACAAGCTGACAGATCTGAACATGGAAAAAGGCACACCTAATTATCAAACTTAATGACAACTCACCAAAGACAAAAATGATTACATTGGTCACATTTTGAAAAACATTACTGTCTGCACATTATTATTGGCCTAATCTTCTACTGGTGATTGATTCAACCTCTAGTAAAAAGACAGAAGAGGTCTGGGAGAAGTACATACTTGGCACGTATATTTTTTGCACGAGTTACATGCTCCCTCAACAAGTCAGCCACAGTATATTCAGCAGCAGTATCATTCTGCGCAATAAAACATCAAATATAATGGTATCAGTCTAAACACCCCAACTAGTGTTTTTGGTGATAGAAAAATAAGATAAGAGGTAAAATTAACCAAAGCAGGGTAAACATACTGGGTAATAAAAGGTCATAAAACAAGTAAATTCCACCCTAAAGTCGCATTTTAAAATTGATCCTTTATCCATTTGGTCTCAACAAATGAGAAATAATCTACGGAATTTAACATATTTTGGTAAGGTACAACAGATGTGCCCAATCTTGCCAACAGGTAAGGTGTGGAATGTTTAGCTAGATGCTATTTAATGCAATGCTCACCAACCCAATTTAAACCTTCAACATGAGCAAATGAGACACAAGTTTCACTTTCCAGAACAGACAAATAATGGACCCATAATAAGGATTAAAAGCAATCACAAGCAACAGTTAGCATATGCAGGATATAAGGCTTCAAACACTTATATAAACGGAAAAAAAGGTAAAGGGTACGGAATGAATGAAACACTGCTCATCCACATTACATTGGTCAATACTCTGTCCATCGCGTCTCTGGTGCTCAGGGCGTTCCTTTCTTGGGCATATCTCTGCAAATTGTGAGGGGATTAATACTGCCAAATATTTCTAGAAGCCTAAGATACAGATTTCTAAAGTGAATGCCAATCAGTCCATGAAAGGAAGGATATATGAGCACAGCAAGCAAGGAAATGTTCAAGGATCTTTGATATGGAGGAAAAAACAGATTTATACATCTCAATGTAATTTCAGGGCGGATCGTCAGCATTTGATTTGGCAACCCAAAATGAATAGGCAACAGGCTCCTAGAGAGAACCAAATCGTGGGGTTCCGGAAAGAAATGAGCTCCTCCAGCACACCACCACCACCACAAAGCTTGGAAGCCATAGCCATCTTTCCTGTGACACCCTACCAATTCATCCCTAGGCCTTTCAACCAGCTTCACAGGAACTTCAGGGTACTGCCCTTCAACCAGCTCATTGATTTCTTCAGGTCTTACATCTATAAAGCTATGCCTTTGATGATAACTTATGAACCAGGTATGGATCAGAATGCTACTCTTTTCTGCAAGAAACTGCAGTTCTTGTTTGTTGCTCATGCTCTGAAAACTACCTGGCCGACACTGGTCCCTCTGAACATAATGGAAGTGGTTAGAGTTGACCAAATGAATTGGAACACTGCCTTTGCTACTCTATCATACTCTGATGAAGCTTGTCATGAATTAGATACCAAACCTGTTGCTACAGATATAGTCTGATAGCCTGGGGAATGATATTGTAATGAGTGACACCACTGCAATGATCTCTGACAGACCCACCGCAAACAAGGGACGCAAGACTAAGATAGTTGCTGAAATTATCACTACCCAGCTTCGTCGTAGTGACCAGGGGAACAAGTACGACGGATTCAAGGCCCCTCCCTGGCAGAGACTCGCACCACCAAAAGCAAAGTCAATCCTAGGATGATCCCAGCTGCTCCAAACCAGGCCAACACCACCTCTGCTGCTGCTCCCATCGCCAAGACGGCGGCGATCCTACCCCGCTTCCAGTACTCCAACACATTGGGACTGTCAGATGTGGGATTCCAGACGAAGAGCTCTCCACTTCCAAGTTGACGGCTGAGCCGCCGGAAGAGACTTCTTCCTCCTCCACTACATAATCATCCATGTCTGGTAAGAAACAATGGAAGGTGCTTGTTTGGAATGTGCGCGGAATAAATTCAGATGATAAGCTACTAGCTATAAGAAACGCCATTTCTATCAGTGGTTGTGATGTAATATGTTTGCAAGAGACCAAGCATATGCACTTTGATTTGAACTTCATCAAGACCTTTGTCCCCGAAAATTCGATAAATTTGCTTCCGTGTGGAATAGTTCAGTCTGTGATGGAGTAACTACTTTCTCTGATATTTTTGCACTGGGTATTGAATTTACTTCTAAGTTATCTGGAAATGTTTGGAAGCTTTTCAATATATATGGCCCATGTCGTGGCGAAGACAGGAATTCTTTCGCTTCTTGGCTTTATGACCTAAACATCCAGAACTCCTCTTGGGCGATTTTAATTTCATAAGATCCGTAAGTAACAGGAATAAACCTGGAGGAGACCTAAATGATATCATGTTATCCAATGACGTAATCCGCAGTCAGGCACTAGTTGAAATTCCCCTAAAAGGGCACTCATTCACCTGGAGCAATATGCAAGAGGATCCCTTGCTGGAACAACTTGATTGGGTTTTCTCTTCGAGTAATTGGACTCTCTCGTATCCAAACACTACGGCGATGGCTCTAGGAAAACCTGTCTCCGATGGGCTCGAAGACCTACGGACACTATCTACCCCAGAGAAGAACATCAGAAGGATTGTCAAAGCCCATCTCCTCACCCTCCTGCGGCACCAAAACGCCTACTGGAAGAAGCGTTGCACTATTCGACGGATTAAATACGGAGAAGACATGATACTTGTACGGCGATCACCAGATTACCCAGTGATACAGTACGGCGATGACATGATACTTGTCATGCCAGCGTGCCCTACAAAAGCTAGCAAAATGGATTATGCTGATTCCATTGGTCTGAAATTAATTTTCAGAAATCTGTCCTAGTAGCCATCAATACTACTGGAGCTCTGGCTGCTGAATTAGCTCAAATCTTTCGGTGCTCGATCGTTCGATGCCATTCACCTATCTGGGATTGCCAATGGGAACTACAAGACCAACGATGACAGATCTTATGCCAGTGGTGAACAGTGTTGAGAGGCGATTGTCTTCATCGCACCAGCATGCTCTCCGATGGCAGGAAACTTCAGCTCCTGAATTCAGTCCTGACCTCTATGATAATCTACCCAATGTGCACCATTAAATTCCCTCCAAAGCTGATTGAGCACCTCGACAAGATCCGAAGAAGATGTCTTTGGCGTAAGAAAATGGAAAATGGAGAATCATGCAACTTTCTTGCTGCGTGGGGAAATGGAGAATCATGCAACTCTCTTGCTGTGTGGGGCATTGTTTGTCACCCGAAGAAGAAAGGGGCCTTGCCATAATAAATCTTCAGGTGGAAAACACGGGTCTGCTTCTCAAACACCTACACAACTTCTACAACAAAAAGGACGTGCCTTGGGTCGACCTAGTGTGGGCTACGTACTATGCTGACAAGGTCCCTCACGCTTCGGAAATTTACGGCTCGTTCTGGTGGGAAGACATAATGCAGCTGAATGATATTTACAGAGGATCACGAGAGTTCAGATCGGGGATGGATCCACTTCTCTGTTTTGGAACGATTTATGGCCAGACGAGATCATTGGTGATACACACCCCCGAGCATTCTCTAAATAAAATCGAGGACGCCTCTGTGGCAGAATTACTTGGTATTGAGGACATCAGTCAAGGATTCCACCCGCCCCTCTCCGTGGAAGTGTATGAGGAGGTCCAAGACATGCAACTGTTGACTGCCTCGACGTCACCCGATAACGCAACGAGAGACAAATGGGTCTGTACCTGGGGGGAGAGCTTTTCGTCTGCCAAATACTACAAATTCTATTTCAAGGTCATCACAGCCGACAAGGCGTTTGTGTGGATCTGAAAGTTGGCCTGTATAATGAAGCTCAATGTTTTTTGAGTGGCTGATCCTAGCTGACAGAATCAATACGAAAACTTCAATGTGGACGAGAACGTG